CAATCTACAATCTACAATCTACAGATTACTGCACTTTCAGATCCTATTTGATTCCCGCTAATGCCACTTCCCCAACCTTTCTGGCTTTGCGGCTTGGCTGGGGGGAGGAGAGGGGATGGTTCTACATAAGTTGCTTGCAAGCATACATGCATCTCCATTTGCACAAGCAGTGGGCATGCACATTCACCACTTGTGCAAATGGAGGGTGCATGCCCACTGTTCACGCTACTTGGGATGCACGCCCTCGCCTGTCACTTCCACCACCCAATTCCAAATGACCCAAGGCCTAGTAGTTGCCCGGGGGGTTGCAGACTCCTGTCCTAGAGATTATAGAAGAACTATGGTTCGCCATTATTCAAATACGAAAGAATCTAAAATTCATTCCCTTCCATCTCATTCCCCCGTCCCCACCCCAATCCTGAATGATTCATTCCATCTGTTTCTGGCTTTAGGCAAAGTCATATTTATTATTTTGGTTTAACCAACTAGAATCATGGTGTAATTATGCTGCAATCAGGGCTTAGAAAAAAAGACTGGCTCCTATATGTAAACCAGAGCTGGCTGATTGAGATGCTCCAGCAAAGTATGAATTTATCAGAAAGTAGGAAAGCAACTATAGTGAAAAAGAAGCAGTATATAACTTAAGTTCGTTAAAGTTGCCAGCAAGTAATTCTGCGCCCAGACTTGCCCTGAGAAAAAGATTGAATGGTCCTCAAAACTGAAGCATTTTAATTGAAGAACACCAATATATAAAAACGGATTTGTTTTTCTATTAATATTCCCTTCTTATAATGTCCCTGCCTCAGGACCTTGTGCAATCAGGGAATATGACCCCTTCCTTTTCCACTGATGAATCTGAATAAACATTCCTACTTGACATCAAATAAAATTTAAGTGTTTATGAGTTCAGTTTGACCTATGGTGACTTCATGAAACATATCCATAGTTTTCTTGGCAGAAACACAGAAGTGACTGTCTATTTGCTATTTTCCAATAATCTGAACCCTGGGATTTCCTGGTGGCCTCCCATTTACGTACTCACCAGATCTAAGCCTTTCTTGCTTTTCAAGATAAGACAATTCTGGGCAGCTGTTTCCACTAATTGAACCATTTTTAATTTGGAAACACTAATAATATTTCTTTGAACTAGTTAGCTATATATCATGAGGAAAGGATTTACAAAAATAAAATCTAAATGTGTGTGTTCCAAATCCACTTATTACAAACATATTTGTCACACCTACCTGCAATTCCTTGTAGCAGCCCACAGACATTAAAAATACTTTTTTTCATAATACTCTGTACACACATGGTGAAAACAGAAACGAATGCAACAGCACAGAGTATCAAGATCCCTACAGCAAGAAAAATAGCAGTAGCTTGCCAAAACCCACTGGCAATTTCACTGAAGTTATCTGCATAGGGGCCACAAGATGTATCAGGCATGGAAGACTGGTGGTGGTGCTCAATTCTGGTGCAACGTCCATAGATCCCCAAGGTTGGACGATAGGGATCCACTGATCCTGCCCTCCTGCTGTCTGTGTCCTGAAAACTTCCAGGTTGGGCCTTGCCAATCAGCCAATCCGCACTCATGAAGGCTATGAGCTCTGCAAATGCCACCACGATACTCAAGAGGGTCCACAACATTGAGCGACAAGTAACAATGACATGACACATATTGCTGTCCAGTGCTTGTGGCCACGTCAATTCAAAGAGTAAAATCCCAAGTGGTTAAAAAGAAATAAAAAAGGAATATAATATGTAATCCTTGTTTCCGTTTACTTATTCTTCAACTTCAGAAACTGAAGGCTTTCTTGGAAGGCGGTAGTCATGCAAGCAGTTTCGTCGTTGGCTCTAAACATCTTGTTTCTCTGTTCCTCTTCTTTGACTGCCGAACTTTGAAGTGTGTACATCTGTGCTAATAGTCATACTGGCATATGACGTTTCAACCCTGTGTGGGAGTTTACAGAGGACTGCCTCTGGTTTGATACTTCACACCTAAAAGAAAAAAAAAGAAAGAAGGTGTGGGAGGAGGGATTATTAGAAGAATTGAAATAAAACCTTCATTTCTGAGAAAACCCATTTTTGTTTTTTTAAGCTAAGATCTAAACAAGCATTTAATAGTTTTTACATCAGCTTGTCAAATACAATCGGCAGGAATCTTCTGTAATCTTTACCCACAGCAGGGTTATTAATTTCCTGTGACCAATGCATTACAGTATTGCTACACACTATAAAACTTTGCAGTGGTCTGCTTTTAAGTTTCACAGATATTCAGAGTACATCTATCAGTTCAAATTTCCACCTAAAAAAGTGCACGCCTAGTACCATTTGTGAGCATAATGGTAAAGGTTCCCCTTACACATATTGCTAGTCGTTCCCAACTCTAGGGGGCGGTGCTTATTTCTATTTCAAAGCTGAATAGCCAGCGCTGTTCAAAGACATCTCCATGGTCATGTGGCCAGCATGACTAAACGCCGAAGGTGCACAGAATGCTGTTATCTTCCCACCAAAGTGATCCCTATTTTTCTACTTGCATTTTTATGTGCTTTCGAACTGCTAGGTTGGCAGAAATTGGGACAAGTAATGGGAGGTCACTCCGTTACGTGGTGCTAGGAATTCGAACCACCAAACTGTAGACCTTTCTGATTGACAAGCTCAGTGTAATAGCCACTGAGCCACCGGGTCCCAAATTGTGAGCATAGGTTTGGAGAAATAGGCCAGTGTCAATTATGAGTTATAACAGAGTTTATTACGTAAAATGAACAACTTTCACGATTCTTTTCTAAAGGAAATCCACAAAGTAAAATGAAACTTAAATGGCCTAAGTAATTTTAAAAGACTTTCTCTAACTCCAGGAAAATGAAGAATCAACTACTCATGAACTATGGAATTGATAACTGCTTCTCTGGTTGGCACCTATCTTATTTCTAAAAGGGTCACTTCCCAGAGAAGGACCACTGAACCTTACCTTATTTGGGGCTGTTCATTTGATAGAGTACCAATGTACATTTTAAAATTACTTTTACGGAATACCCAAAAGATCAAGAGAAAAAAAAAACTAAATAGAAATGAAATTTCAGAATATTTCCCCATGTGTACGCACATAAGACAATACATCCAGAATATGGAAAATCTGTTAGGAAAAAATTAATTAATATCGCTCAGGAAAAATTATAATGTTTCAATAAATTTATTTTTAAGTTTAGGGTTTCTCATAGCTTTTTGCTGTTTCATATTTTTATTAAACATTTACGTATTAATTCATGAATGGAGAGTAGGCATCCTTGAGAAGGCCACAGAACAATCTGGAAGCAGGTGATACAACTTTGCTAGTGAATCAGGACTGGAACAGAGAAGCTTCCTTAAAGGTGAAGTCATGTGAAAACATCGATGAAATGGTTGGAGGAAATATAAGAATACATATAAAGCTATAGTGTAGCTCAGTGGTTCCCAAACTTGGCAACTTTAAGACTTGTGGACTTCAACTTCCAGAATTCTCCAGCCAGCTCTTCTGGAAGTTGAAGTCCACAAGTCTTAAAGTTGCCAAGTTTGGGAACCACTGGTGTAGCTTAAAATTTATCACAAAATGTATGGAAGAATTTCCATATAAAATTCATGTGCCAAGGTTTAAGACATGGATCCATTAAGTGTCTGCAAGCCATTATAAACTATCCAAACATGGCCATGCTAGCTGAAAATTCTAGAAGTTTCATTTGCATTAAATCCAGAAAACATTAGGTTGGAGAAGTCTCTTCCAGCATGCATACAGATGGATCCAAAGAGGATGTTCTTGTGTGGACACAAGTTATTTTAATGTTCCTTGCTTAAAAGAAAACCGTTTTTAGGAAGTTGATCATTATTTAATTTTCTGGATTTAAAATGGAAATAAAAGACCGCAACTTCTGGCTATTCTCTGACAGTCAGCAAAGAATTAGTACAGTTCACAACTTGACTTCTGGCGTAGAGGGAGAAACAAGCAGCACTGCTGTCAGGCAGATCAAGAGGCATGTGGTGCAAACACACCCTCTGTAAATAATAAAAGCTGGAAGATAACTTATAAGTTGCCAAAGCAGCAAATCCTCTCAGCAGGTCAAATTTCTATAATAATTGGGAAGGAAGGAAATATAGTAACTGTCCCTTTTAACTTCACCCATGACATAAAGGAGGTGAAGAATTTAACAGGCAGGAAGCAAAATAATTACCATGTTCAAAAGCAGACAGTATTATTTTGTGAGAACAAAAACACTTGTAGTTATTGAAATTAGTTTTAAGAAAGTACGGGGAAAGAAGCATAAGCAATAGAGCAAATTAAAATATAAATCACAATACAGTACAGCTAGGTAGATTCACAGATCCTCGGACAGACGCAAAGTTCATATTTATTTTACAAGGGTGTGGAGATCACTTGTATCATGAAAGGAAAAGCAATAAAAATGTGAGTCATTGTTCATGATATGAACAGTAATTACCAATGCTGCAAAATAAATAAAAAAATCAAACTCAATAGCCCTCCATAGTTTATTTTTTTGAAATTTACAAATTNCCCATTAAAAATCCAATTCTCCCCATTAAAAATTCAATTGACCCCATTAAAAATCAAATTGCCCCCCTGTGGGGTGTGGGCCCCAAGTTGGGAACCACTGATTTACACCCATCTGAGTTTACATGCACATTTGCACTAGCAAGGAAATCTCTGCCATTTCTGGGTGGGTAGTTCTATTTTTCAGCAAAACAAATAAATAAACTTGTTGCAATTTATAGAACAGCATATGAATCGTTACCTCTATTTCACTACCTGCTTCATCAGCTACATGACATATAGGTGTACAGCCTGCATAGATACGATATATGCAAGATTATTATCTATGGGTCTAATGAACTACGAACCCAGAAGTTTCTGTGGTAATAAATGTGGAATGGATGAGTACATGAATACCCACATTTTGTTGACTTTTTTACCCTGGGACATTCGGTTTTATCTTCCTACTTTGCTTTATGGTAACTTTTTAGTTAAATATTAGCTTAAAAGGTTCCCGGAACTAATCTGTGTGCTGGTTTAATACTGCTGATTCTGATAGATCCTTTCTGTTTTAAAACATCCTGGCTCTTTATTGTGTGAGCAGTGGATTTTGTTCTCAGCTGGAATGTATGAGGCTTTAAGCTCAGTGCCCATATTTAACCTTAATATTGTACATGTAAAGAAGTACTTCCTTTCTTTTCTTCATTGTATTTATAATACATCCCAGCCCCAAAGAACTCTGTTAGGCTAATAACATAAAATTAAATCTCAGCTAGGAACAATATAAACAACAAAAGAGTAAACCTACCACTAACACAACAGCAGTATCTGTGATGGATGTTTATGATCAGCAATTAAAGGTAATTGGAACCATGTTACTTTTAATTGTTTTCTAAAATTAAAACAATTAATGGCTAGTTTTCTGTGGGAAGGCCTGTTAGGATCATGGAGTGTTTGATCCACACTTTATTATCCTGACATGGATGAATTTATTTGTTATATTTACTATGAAATGCATCTTTTCCCAAACAGATTAATACCTCTGAAGCTTTTCATCTATTATAATTGTTTATATTATTACAATATATACTGAAAACAAAATTTGACTACGATATTCAGTTTCTGAATGTTTATATTGACCAAATTTCATTTGTCCAAGTACGTATATGCAATACTAATTTGTAATAAATATGAATATTTTACAACTGTTTTGCTTTGCCAGTGAGAAATCTACAATAAAATGCAAATTGTAGTAAAGTAGATAAAGCGAAGAAAATATGTGTAACTTCAAAGTTTCTAGCCTGTAAAGTCTAGTTTTCTTCTATTTTATTGGCTATAAGAAAGTCAACTACAAAATTGTTTTACTTGATAATATTAAATAATTTAATGAATAATATTTATTCTTCAAGATGCATAAATTCTGTTACTAAATAATGTTTTGGTAGCTCAGAGAAAAGATTTTGTGATTAAAATTATGTAAATACATATGTGTAAAGAAGCAACTGCACCTATAAATCTTTGATTTAGGAGGTTCCTGTTGAGACTTGGAAGATTGAAATGAGACAACATCAAACATTAAAACTCATGGGTTTCTTTCTTTAAAAAAAATAAAAACACAAATCCATACCATTATTATATACTATTATATTCTATTTTAATATTCTATTACAATAGAATATTGTTTTGTCTTACCAAAACAAAAGCTGAAAGAGAGAGAGGAATGGCTGGACATCTAACTATTGAAGTTCAAGAATCAGTTTTAAAATATAAAACTTCCAACTTTTAAATGTTTGATTAACATTGTCTGGGAATTATTTATCAAGCAGATTCTCAGAGGAATCCAGGAAAAACAAAAAGCAGGAAACCATTAAAACCAAAGTCAGGTTTTGGAAGAGAGAAAGCATAAATAAATAAGATGCACAGAAGAAAAAACAGCAAAAGTGCTTTTCCCTTTTCTTAGGGAGAAATGGAAAACCTGAAACTCATAAAGGTGAAATCTTGAAAAGTTCCTCATGAATAAATGTATTGTCTAGGAATGACAGTCCCATTACGCTCCACCACATGATGGCAGTGTTACTTCAACAGAAATCCATCCCATGAAGACAGGCTATCCTGCACAGGACAGGTGCAACTTTACTGTCAAAGGGCAACTTTAATGCAGGGGTGGTCAACTATGGCAATTTTACTTTCTATGCTGGCTTAGGAATTCTGGGACTTGAAGTCCACAGGTCATAAAGTTGCCACAGGTTGTCCACCTCTGCTTCAATGTATCAGCTAATCCAGCACCATGTGCTGTCAAACCTTTGCTCTAGGTACCAGAATCCCAATGAACTACTACAATATGGCATTTTATGCTATTATAACATATATGCAAGGTATTTATTTATTGAATAAAAATTAAAGTGAGTCTGCCAATATAGAAAAATATTGCTAAAGGGGAAAATAGCATAGTAAACAAA